TCATCTCTACAATAAATCAAAAAATCAGCCGGGCGTGGTAGCACATGCCTGTAATTCCGGCTACTCGGTAGGCTGAGGCGAAAGGATAGCCCGAGCCCAGCAGGTCGAGGCTGCGGTGGCCGGGAGCAGCCACTGCACTTTAGTCTGGGCGACAGAGTGAGATTCCAACTCAAAAAAAAAAAAAAAAAACGTAATAGCAATGCTGCTATGATTAAGTTGTTCTGCTAACACTTCAAACTTAGGAGTTTTGAAACTCACAAACAGAACATGTTCGGGCAGCAGTATGCTAGTGGAATGGAACGTTCCAATTAATTTTTTAAAAATCCTATTGAATACAATTCTACCCAAAGATCTCGCTGAAATATATCAGCAGGTTTTCTTGCCTTGATTAGTATGGTATCTTAATAGTATTTTAAGGGTTTTTTTTTTCATTTTACGGGGTTTTCATTTTATAGGACTGTAGGTGCTGGATTAGACAAGCTCATTTGTTGTTGTTTGTTTTTTTGAGTCAAAGTCTCTGTCGCCCAAGCTGGAGTGCAATGGCACGCTCATGGCCACCCCAGCGTCGACCTGCTGGGCTCAGGCGATCTGTCCATCTCAGCCTTCCAAGTAGCCAGAACTACAGGATTGCGCTACCACACCCGACTAATTTTTTTTTTTTTTTGAGTTGGAGTCTCACTCCATCACCCAGACTGGAGTGCAGTGGCCGCTCCCCGCCACCACAGCCTCGACCTGCTGGGCTCTGGTGATCCTTCTGCCTCAGCCTTCCAAGTAACTGGAACTACAGGCGCGCACTACCACGCCCGACTGATTTTTTGATTTATTGTAGAGATGAGGTCTCACCAAGTTGCCCAGGCGAGTCTTGAACTCGCGGGCTCAGGCCATCCACTCACCTCAGCCTCCCAAGGCGCGGCATTACAGGCTGAGCCACCGAGCCCAGCTCTGGCTAACTTTTGATAGATTTTTTGATATATTGTAGAGATGAGGTGTCACCAAGTTGCCCAGGCTGGTCTCGAACCCCCGGGCTCAGGCAGTCCTCTCGCCTCGGCCTCCTAAAGTGCTGAGATTATAGGCTTGAGCCACCTTGCCCGGCCAGGCTCATGTTTAAAAGACAAGCGCACTTCATACAACCCACCCTTCATTTAGTATTGGTGGGAGGGTGGAATCTGACAAATACCTACTCACCTGGGCCGAATTGTGTATCTGAGAACAAGGGATATAAGTAAATATCCGCCCAATCTCCCTAAGGCTTAGTAACTGCTCTGAGCTTCAATTTCCAAGTGTGTTTCTCTGTGAAGACCCGTAGGAAGTCCCCAATTAACGGGAGCTACTTTTACTTTTTTGGCTTCGCATCGCCTGTGTGATCTGGCACCTCGGACTCTCCTGGGCGTTCTTTACTCTAATTGATCCCATCATCTCCTGCCTCTCTCTGTTTCCTTTTAGGTAGGCCAAGTTCAGAACTTTAAAAGTAATAGCCACACCCCTTCCTGTTTTCTCTCCTAGACCTTTCCCCGCTTCTTCTCTGCCAGGGTGAGTCCATCCAGTCCTGAGTTCAGCTCAAGGACGCTTCTTGGCTATGCCTACACCTGTCCTCTTGGGTAGCGACAGGTCACTGGTTTGTTCTGGAACCACCTTGAACCTCTGCAGCATGTAGCACTGTGGAAACTAAGCCACTCAGTGAGTTTCTATCTCTCCTCCTAGGGTTGTAAGTTTTGTCTCTCCATGAGGGTGGCCTGTGTATTTGCTGGTCAGCATATCCCAGTGACCAACCATGGGAGGTGTCCAATGAAGTGGCTGTGAGATGAAATGGTCCTAAAACTGCTCTGGAGGTGACATCATGACCGCCACCTGGAGGTTAGGTGGGGGAATGCCCCTTAGAAATCCTGCTGGAGAGACATGGTCAAGCCGGAATTGAGTCCACTTACCTGGTCCACAAATATGGGGCTTGCTAACCTGAAATAGGGCTGATAAGCACAAGACAGGGCAACATACAACATATCGAGCCAAAGCTCCACTCCTGTGAAAATTATCATGTACACCGCAGGAGGGGGTTTTATGTGAACACACCATGGACAGAGATATCACTGGAGTTGCAGGTAATTCTCTTCTCTAAACACCAACAGGACAGGTGTGAAGCCACATTGACAGCACTGTCCCTGATCTCTGTGACTGGAAAGACCCCTTGAGTGATAACACCTGTGCGTGTCACCTCGGAAATACAGCCATTGCAGTCCTGTCCACCCCTCCCACAGATCCAGACTATTCTCAAATTCATCCTGGTTCTCACTCTCCATCAGTTTGGAGTCATGGCAGGTGCTTTATCATTTCCAAAATTTATTTGCTGTCTGACATGCATTCCCTGACTGGCAGGATGCAAATGCCTGGAGAGAGCTAGTCTTGGGAGTCAGATGGCTTAGGTGGAAATTCGGGCTTACCTACTATATTGCTGTGTGACCTTGGACAGTATTTTAACTTGCCGGACAGTTTCTCTATCTGCAAAATGAGACTATTTAGTGTCCAAGCTCACAGGATGGCTGAGAGGATTCAATGAGACAATATGTGCAAAGCACTTAGCATTTTGCCCGAAGCTTGATAGGCATCAATACATGTTAATTATCATCCTCTGCATTTTGCCTGAAGCTTGGTAAGCATCAATACATGTTAATTATCATCCTCTTCAGAAGACAAATATACTTATTAGAGGCCAAAGCACTTAGATGCTTCCCTTGTCTCATACATTCTGGTTGTCAGTGATTGCTCTATGGAGAAGTGAAGGGAGAATCTGGAACGTAAAAGCCCTGAATAGCCAGGTGTGGTAGTGATATCTGTAGTCCCAGCTAGTAGACAGGCTGAGGCAGGAGGATCGCCTGAGCCCAAGAGTTTGAGGCTTCAGTGAGCCACGATCATGCCACCGCACTCCAGCCTGGGCAACAGAGTGAGACCTCATCTCTCAAAAAAGCCCCAAATAATGTGTCTATGTCTTTATTGAGCCCACATACTGCCAAACAAATAGTTTAAGGAAAATCACCTAGACCACTAGGCAATA